AAAATAAGGAAGGCCCCAGGGATGTGGTCTCCACCAGAGTTGTCTTCCCAGGCGGAGGCGAGGGAGTTCCCCCTCAGCAGCTGGGTGGTTGGAGAGGCTGCAGACAGCCAGACATGATGACTGGGGCTGGGAAAACCTCAGCATGGAAAGAAGAGGGCTACAGGCAATGGCAGCAGGAAACTTGGCCATGTCTCTGCTTCGTGATATAATGCCAGCAGGGAGAGGGTGGGCTGCTCCCAGCGCAGGGAGAGCCGTGCAGGAGGGAAGGGAGTTGGTCTAGGCTGCAGGATCAGCCTTCTCCGCAGCAGAGCCACTCAGCCCTGGCCACCCCAAGCAAAGCACCTCCAGAAAGACAGGTCTATTCAGGTATGAGACTCTTTGGGTCCCAAGCACTCCCTGAGACACTGTTACCCTGCCAAAAATGCTTGGGGCATCACTGATATGCACTCCAAGGGGGACAGGTCATGTTGGCTCTCCTTCCTGGGGAAGTCCCTGCTGGTGGCACCAGGCTGGTCCCCAGCCCTGCTGCCAAGGCACCACTGACCTCCAGGCAGAGTTGAGGGCCAGGATGGGTCTGAGGCCCCACGCTTTGCATTGCATGGGCATGTCCAGTGCTCTGAGACTGGAAAATCATAGCGTGAGACCAGCTCATCCACAGACCAGGACCACATCCACGTAGTGTATGGTTTAGGGGGGACCACGCTACAGGGAAACGGCTGGGGACAGGGATGGGTTGAGGGCTTCCCCCGTCTGCGGAGGGCTGGCCCGTCCCCGTGTTGGCGGGTCACTGGTCCCAGGACTTCCCAGTGCAGTGCCAGAGATCTCGCAGCTCCACCTGCTGGCTCCACGGCCAGGGCTGCGGAGTAGGGAAGGTGCTGGGGAAGGGGAACAGTTGGTGGGATGAGCAGGACAGGGCACTTAAGAAAAAAAATCCACATGGCCACTGGGTCACACAGAGTTTTCTTGTTATTTTGATTGTTTTAACCAATAGCCTGCAGGTCGCATGTATGAAAATATGGGAGAATCGTACACCAGCAAAAAAAGCAAACCCACAGTGAGCAGTGTACAAGGCCCTGCAGGACACAGCAGGGAGGAGAGCACCTGGGAAGCTGGGTAGCCAGGGCTCGATGCTGTGCAAGCTGCACCAGTCACACTGGGTTTGGTTAATGCCTTTCCTTCAGCCCATCTTTCTTCCATTAATTCAGTCATGAAATCTTTTCTACCATGTCCATCTTCAGCATCAAATCATTTGCGCAGCCAGGTGCCTGGTGCCACTAAAGCAGAGCAAGCTGGGAAGCTGATGGAGTTAATAAAAGTCATTCACCAGCCACGCATCCCCGGCCAGCCTCTCTGTGAGAGGTATGTAATAAAAATGACAAATACGATGGGAAGGATGGCACAGGCACAACAGGGGGTGATGCCTCCTGAGTTGCTCCTAAACCCATCAGCAGCTTGGCGGTGGGCTGGCAACCACACACTCCCCACCGGCACCCCACTCCCCCAGGGGATGGCTGTGTCTCCGGGCTTCTCCTGTGGCCCCATGGAGCTGGATTTCCCACGGTGTCCCCTGTGCATCCCCCGATGCACCCCCAGGCGACAGGCCTTGCAGTGCTCGCTCTCGTGGGGTGCGCTGTGCCACCTGGCCACAGCCTCCTGCAAATGGGGGTGAACGTCATCCTCACCACAGAACTTCTGCCGGATGCTGGTGACCAAATCCGACAGGATCCGCCTGGCACTATCCTGGCTGAAAACTGGCTCTGCCCACACCCAGCACAGGTGGCACTGCTGCCTGAAGGTCCTCTTCCTCACCTGGCCTCCTGCCCCAGTGTGGTCCAGGTGGACATGGTGGATGACAGCCTGGGCTGAGTTCCACACGTGCTCACAGTGGGAGCAACAGAAGCTGAAAGAGAGGAGAGCCTGAGAGGTGGGATGGAGGCTGCCACGGGGAGAGGATCACAGAGCTATGGGGCTGGCCACACCATCACCCCACATCCATGCTGCTGCACTGAGACGGAGGCACCCAATGCCCCCCACCTGCCCCACGGACACGTATGTCCAAGGTGGTGGGATAATGGAGGGGATGGGGAGTGAGTGGATGCCCGTGGCATCAGCCATTTGGGCACTCTCCAGCTTCCCCTCAGGTTTACTTACAACCACACATCTGAATTTGGGTGCAATACCCACCACGCTCCATCCCCCTCCCTTTCTGGTGACCTTCTAGTGGGGGAAGCAGGCCCAATCCCACACCTCCTGCAAGATGAAGCCGAAGGCTCCCAAAAGTTCACCTTGCCCTCTGGGTAGCAGGGAAGGACTCAGGACGCCACTGCTCAGCCCTGGGCTGTTCCTCACCTAGCACAGAAACCCTGCCTGGCTGCAGATGGAGAGGCTGACCTGCTTCCACCCCTGCCCCCCCCAAAATAATCCCCTCAGGATTACCCCAGAGGGGCTGAAGCAGTAGCCTTGGTGCCCCAGTGTGAGCCTCAGCTGCACCCGAGCTCTTCCCCTGGCTGACAGCACTGCAGGAGCCAAGTGCCCCAGGGCGCAGGTAGGGTTGCAAGCCATTTTACAGATGAGGAAACTGAGGCACAGTGCAGCTGCACAAACTTGCCTAGCACCACCTGAGACGTGACTGTCTCTGAGGCTGGGCCAGGCATGGGAGATGGGGAAAGACTCCCATCACCACGATGGTTTTACAGCTCATGAGAGAGCATGAGACCCTGCCAGACCCAAAGTTATAGATAAAAGAGGTAATTCCCGTGGCTCTGCCTGTGCAGGCAGTGTTCCACCCTGCCCTCTGAACCTGTCCCTTGCTAGAGGCCAGGGCTGGCTGCTCCCGTCCCCGCTGCTCTCGCCTGGCCAAGCCGTGCTCCTCCACCACCTCCGTCCAGTCCCAGGGCAGAGCTTCAGCAGTGAGACCTTGGACCATCTTCAGCTCCCACTCATTCTCTGGTTTTACTTCATCTATCAGGTCATAAAATATCTCCCTCCAAGTGTCTGTCTGCAGCGGGTCCATCTCTCCTAGGGGCTCGGCTTGCCATCTGGGCACAGGGCAGCAAGTGCCTGAGGTTGCCCAGCTGCCCCTGCTGCTTGCCCTGGGCAGGAGTCCTGGGCTGGGCTGGGCTGGCTACTTCAGCAGCAGGCAGGGAGCCAAAGCCCGAGCACAGGAAACAGAACTAAAAGGAGTTTTGCCCCCAGTGCCCAAATGGTTCTTCTCCAGCTCCTCTGTGTCTTTTCCTACCTGGCATGAGCAGCAAGGGGCAAGGGTCCCTGGCCCTGCCCATGCACTTCCCCCAGGGCATCACCCACCAGGGATGGAGGCAGGGGACAGTCTTGCCTAACACAAAAACTCATGGAACTGCAACACACAAAGAGGAAGAAACAAAAAGAAGCTGTTTCAGCAACAATGTTACCCTGAGGGCCCCCGCCACAGGCGATTGGGGATGCATAGTGGGGTCAGGAGAGCAATCAGGCTGTTTACATGAAAAAGAAATCCAGGAGAGGCTCTGACCTTCGGATCACAGGGAGATCATACCAAAGGAGTCCCAATCTCTCCTGCCTCACTTCTGATTTCCCCCACCACCTGCCCATCCCAGGACTCCAGGGCAGATGGACCTTGGTAACCACAATTATAATTGAGGCTTATGATGTGCAGGCTATTTCAAAAACTTTTGCAAGCATTTACAGACCAATTTCACCTTGATGTTTCTGGGCCATGCTGTTCCCATGTGTAAGTCCTGCAGGAGCCCAGCATCTCCCCTGCAGGGAAGGTAAGAGGCTGAGGGGTATCAGGCTGCAGGGGGACAACAGTTTTCCTCCCAGCTTTATGATGCCCACCAGGTCCCGTGAAACCTGCAGGGCGAAGTAGCAGCAGGCAGGAGTCAGCATCCTCCCCTTTGCCCCAACGCTGTAGCCCAATAAGAGCAATTTCCCCATGATTGACCTAACAGGGCAGAGACTTCGGACTTGCTGCCGCAGCCTTCTTGCGCTTGCCAGCCTTGGGCACCCTTTGCCCCCACTGCAGCGTGGGAGGGGTTTGTGTTTGCCAGGGTGTTTTTCAGAGCCGTCATCATAGAATGGTTTGGGTTGAAAGGGACCTTAAAGATTTTCTAGTCCCACCCCCCCTGCCATGGGCAGGGACACCTTCCACTAGACCAGGTTGCTCAAAGCCCCGTCCAACCTGGCCTTGAACACTTCCAGGGAGTGGGCATCCACACCTTCTCTGGGCAACCTGTTCCAGTGCCTCACCACCTTCATGCTAAAGAATTTCTTCCTAATATTTAATCTAAATCTACCCTCTTTCAGGTTAAAACCATTACCTCTCATCCTATCACTATACTCCCTGATAAAGAGTCCCCTTGTGAAAGCTCAGCACCCAGATATTTCTGGAGGATGAAGCAATCTCCAGTCCACTAGTGACACAAGGGACATCCACCGGTGCACGGGGCCAGGGCAGATGCTGCTGTACGCAGCTCACAGGAGTCAGTGCCAGCCTCCACGGGCACTGGCTCCCCATGACATTGCTGCAAACCTCCAGCTCTAGGTGCCCCTCAGCTGCTTTGGGTGCTCAGTTCCACCAAGGCCAAAGGCAAGAGAGCATCGGGATGTGTCTCCCTGGAAGCTGAGCCCAGCTGGTGGATAAAGGCAGCCCCCAGCTTTCTTCTGAGCTGCTCACACGGAGCTAGAAAAGGCTTTGGAGAAATTAAAAAGCACAAATGCATCCTCAGGCTGAGGAGAAAGAGCTTGTTTTATTCTTGCAAGTACATTCATCCTTTGCATGGGGCAGTTGAGGGTTGTCATCATGCAGAATATGTCCCATAAGAAACCATCAGACCCTCACCGAGGCTGTGGGATGAGGTGCCTGGCTGAGGCACCCCGATGTGTCCCTGTTCCCCCATGAGCCAGGGAAGCCTCGCCATGCCACGAGCAAGGGCTGACCTTGGGCACCCAATTTTCCAGGCGCTCCATCAGCACCCCCAGCCATCACCCCTGTTCCTCTTTGCGAGTTCCAGCTCCCACTACTTCTTGATGAAATAAAGCAGAGCAAAGAGGAGCACTGCCAAACCACAGAGCAAAATGCTGCCGATGCAGCAGCAGTGTTTCCAGGGGAAGCTGCTGTTGAAACATGAGGGGTGGTGGGTTGGTGTTGCAGAGGGCCTCATACCCTGTCTCTTCAGGGTGCGATGGGTCCTGGCCTTGTCTGCATGCATCGAGGGCTCCCAGGCATCCCACGCCAGGGCCGGCCTCGACTGGCTGCAAACACCGAGCTGGCAGCCCTCACAGCGAGCGCTGTCGTGTGGCCCTGTCACCTGTGTGTCCACCACGACTTCCAGGAGGTCAGAGTGCTGAATGGGCAGGCGGTAGAAGTACTTGAGGATCTTTAGCACCAGGTTGTGCAGAAGCTTCTCCATGGTCTCCTGGCTGAATTCGGGCTCCTCCAGCTGGGGGTCAGAGCATCGCCTGCATGCCTGGCGAAAGGCTCGCATCCACACCATGCCTTGGCCCTTGTGCCGGTGCATGTGGAACACGATGTGTGCTTTGGCTGAGGACCATTCATGAAAGCACTGGGAGCACCGAAACCTGCGAGGGCATGGAGGAGACCAGCTCATCCCAGGCTCCCCATGCTGAGCCAGCTGCTTCCCATGCAGTCAGCAGGGACCAGGGCAGCCAGGGCTGATGGATTAACTTCACTCACACAAGCTTTACACCAAACTGTCCTCCCCCTAAGACCATCATGCCAATCTGGGGAGTTCAACACAGATGTGAGCTCAGGGCTGGCCCCAGCATTTTTTAGGAACCAGGCTGCCTTCTGGGACCACCCCGGTCCCCTTTCCTAGCCCATCCCGGCCCCACTGCCAGGAGCAGGAGGCCTTGGGGTGGGAAGCATCAGGCCCCTCACCCATGCCGGCTCATCACAGCTCAGCGGAAAGCCAACGTCAAGCCCAGTGCTGGGTAAGTCAAAAAAAAAAGAAGAAAAATAGAAGGAAGGTGTGGGTGGAGGCTGCAGGGCAGCTGAGGAGATGTCCTGAAGAGTCAAAAGGTGTGTAACCCGCAGCTCTTCATCTTAAACAATCTGCATGGGGGCTGGCAGCCAAAGTCTCCATTTGCTGCCACCTGGGCAGGGTGTCTGGTCGATGCCCAGGGTCCTGCCCGGGGTAGAAATGGTTGGGATGGGGCCTCTCATCAGCAATGCAGAGCCACAGCCTCTCTCTGCCCCAGGACCCTGCAGCCTGGTGCAGATCCAGGGACTGCTGAGGCATTGTCCCATGTCCCAGCAGACAGCGGCTCATGCTCTCTTCATCCTCTGGGTGCAAACCCAGAAAATTTGGCTCTAGTGTGGTGTAACTACCACTGCTCATTGAAGGAGCTCTTTGTATCTTGACACCAACATGGAGAAACTCTGGCCAAATACCATCTGCCCTTTGGCCCTGTGGAGGTGCTGCACTCCCTTCCCCTCCAATTATCATGATTCTTTTCCAGTTTGGCAATAACCCACCAAGCTTGTAACAAAATGGGAAAACCCCTCCCAGCCTCACGCACCTCCAAACTCCCCTTTCATGTCAAAAGCTGCTTCCTACAAGCAAACTTCGAGAAAGGGGAAGGTCTGCATGGCAGCCCATCACCCCTTGTCCCACTCCAACAGGGACCAAGCCAGCAGCCCCCTACCTCCCAAGCGCACGGCGCTGCACATACTCCTTCCAGCCAGGCTTGAGGATGTGCACCTGCAGGCTATCGTCCTCCTGAAGCCTCCACGGCTCTGTCAAGTCCATAGCTGCAATCTTCGCTGCAAAAATGTCCTGCCAGTCCCCCATGGTCCCATCTGGAGCTGGGGAAGAGGCAGTGACCAGGGTCAAGCTTGAAGCTTCTGGGTGCTGATACACGTGTGCAACTTTCTTTCCCCCAAACTTTTCCTCTTTGCACAACGTCTTTGTGCTTGGAGAGGGGAACCTTTGCTCCTGCATGAACAGCACCGCCCCATCCCGATCCCTGTGTCAACAGGCTCTGCTGACACTGCACCAGGTCCTGGCCAGGTGAATTGTCCCCCAAAGCAAGGACAAGGTGGGTTTCCCCAAGCCCCATACGTGAACCCCCAACCCTGCTGAAGCCATGCTCTTGTGATACTTGTCTGTCTATCAGCAGAAAGGTTGGAAAAGCAACCCGCTGCCAGGCTGCCCGTGCCCATCACTGCCGTGGCAGCAGGGGCGAACCGGCAGAGATTGTGCCCAGCGTAGGAATAACGGAAGTGAAACCCACTGAAAATGCAGGACTCAGCAGCTGATAAAGCCCCAGATAGCCTTATCTCTCTTGATAACTACCACCAAGCACGGGCTGTTTTTAACAACTTTCAGTCAACTCGAGCAGAAAAAAGCCTGACATGAAACCGCAGGGTGGAAAGTCGGGGAGGATGGTACTGCACATAAAACTGAAAGAGGAGAGGTGTGCTCTGAGCTGAGAGCACCCAGGTAAGGTATAAAAAGCAGGGCCGGGCTGCCTGCAGCCCTCTGCCCCCCAGCTCACCCCTCTCCGGGTGCGCAGGTCTCCCAGGACGTCCCATGGAGAGTGATGCAGGCCAGGGAGCAGGTTAGACAAGATGCCAAATGATAACTGGTCTTGAGTTAGAGGAAGATCTGCAGCTTAATAAAGCAAGCTCAGCTTGCCATGGAAATAAAACCATCTCGTTTAGCATGAAGTTTTCAGAGGAGACCAACCTGCGCACAGAGGGCACAAAATGCCCCAAAACGCCTCACCTTGGAGGAAACATGCTGGGTAGGTGCTGAGGATGAAGCCACCGTGGAAAGTTATGGCAGCTCCTTGTGCTGAGTGCCTGGAGCAGCACTCAGGCTCCCAGAAGCAGGGAGGGTTTAACGCAAAGACTGTAGGATATTAAGGCCTGCAGTAGGACAGACCTCCATTTAAAAAAAGGGCAGAAGGATCTAGGAATCAGGCTTAAAATACTTCACATCATTGGTTTCAAATGAAGTATGTCCCCATGGCAGCTCTTCTGGCTTGACACCCCAAAAGCTCAGGTGTCCCAGGCAGCAGTGCCAGTGGCTGACCCTGCTCTGGAGCTGGCTGGGGCAGCGGGATTGCTGAGGATGTAGGTGACGGCACCTGTGGCCTCGCAAGAGGGGCACAGTGGCTGATGGCAGTAGGTGACAGCAGCTGTGAGGTCTTAAGAGGCACCAGCACATCAGGCTCATCCTGCAGATCCCAAAAGGGAGGCAGGTAATGCAGATAAATGCCAGTAACCACAGGCTGGCAGGGAGCCTCTGATCTTTGCTGCTGGAAGGGAAAAGCCAGCGAGTCATCTGTACCAAGAGCCCTCCAGCACCTTCACAACCTGCACTGCCCCTCCTGTGAGAGTGGAGGGAGGTGACGAGGTCCTGGGGCAGAGCCCATCTTCAGCTTCGAGGTTCTTCCCTGCTTTGAGGTCCTTCCACCCATAATTACGCCTTGATGCTACGATCTGGAGCAGGAGTAGAAGGAAAGAAAGGAGGTTTCCTGGAAGCAGAGGAGCCAAGCCAAGGTCTTCGGGATACTTATGGAGAGCTAGCAAAGCCCTAACCTGTAGATAGGACCTGAGTCACTCCCTTCCCAAGAGCCCTGCCATGGGGACATGGGGTCCCACTTGGGCTGGGACAGTGCCCTACAAGCAGAACGGTGAAGGAAGCGTTGTCCCACCAGTGTTTCCGATGCTCGCAGGTGGGGACTGGGGAACATCCCTAGCTCAGGTCTGGTGTGTGGGGAGAAAGAGAGGGAGCAGCAGATCTCCCTGCCCCCACTCCTACTCCTTTCCCAGAGCACAGGGCCCCCATTTCTATAGGTTCACTATAGAAGACCTCTCTGTGCACCCCACCACAGAGGGTTCTCCAGGGCAGCAAATCTCTTAGTGCAGAAAGCTGACACCGTGCAGTGCCTGGCATCACCATGCTACAGCATGGTGTGGGGAGCCATCAGCAGCAGGGTGACCGGGATGGGACCACCAGCCCTGGGGCATCTGCTCGTCCCCTTGGACTGCTCTGTGTTAGGGGCTGAGATTTACCCGGGGGTGGTTGAATGCAGGAAAAACCTAAAGGTTTTGATGTCTCCCCTTTACTTTGAGGGCAACCGCACCTGTGTTAAACACCTTGAGCTATTTTGAGGAGGAGGAGCCCCTTGGGGAGGCAGCCCTCTCTCCTGGCACTCTCCTATTCACCCAAACAAACCGATCGCTTCATCTGGGGGATCTGTGGTTTCAGCCCAGCCCTTCCTCCCCGTGGCTGCTGCCGTGGGGCAGAGGGGTGCTCCCCACCAGGGCAGACACTGGTCCCCATGCTGCCCACCCCAGGGGACAAAACACTGCCCCTCAGGCACACGGCTCAAGGGGGGTCCGGTGGCATCCCTGGCACGGGGCGGGCCTCTGCCTCCAAAAGCCGGCTGTGATGGAAACCAGCCCCCCCGTTACGTCATGGCAACACAACTCAAATCACAACTCATGAAGCGCCAAGCCCTTGGAGTCATCTCTGAGAAGGAGCCCGGCGCTGGTCCCCCTATTAAAGCCTTTGACTTGCTTTTACTAAAGGGACTTTCCCAGAACCACCCACAGAGCCGAAACTGCTTTGACGTCCTGTTCCACTTCGCACACACCTCCCGGCGCAGCCCGAGCACCTTGCCGCTTACCGGCACCTGCCTGGAAACAAAAGCAGCTCCTGCAGGTCCCTCCACAGCCCAGCCTTGGCAGGGACTGGGGACGAGCCCTGTCCCAGCCCTGGCATGACCCTGCTGGGCTGGAGAGTCCCTGCCAGGGACAGATCCTGCCAATCCTCTCCATCCCAGTGTGCTGGTCGTGGCTTCTCCATGGGATGCATGAAGGAGGCAAACACAAGGCACAGCCCGGGTGGTAATTTCCCTGCCACTTTCACACAGCCTGAAATTATTTTTTATTTCAGTTCCCACCCCCGGGTGAGCCGCCCAGGCGAGAGGAGGAAGGTTTCCCAAGGCTCCTTATCCTCCTCTCCATCTCTCGCTGTGTGTCAGCCACCCCATCCCTTACCCCTCCAGCCCAGAGACAAACTGCCCACACCGTCCCGCTTGGCCCATATGCGTCCCATCCCTGCTGGAACATCCATCCCTTCCCTTTGGGGTCACCCCATACCCAGGCAGCTCCATCCTGCCAGCAGTCCCCAGGAGGGGTAGAAAGGGACATTCAACACCGGTCCCCAGGCAGGAGCACAGAGCAGGACTTCCCCTCAGCAGCGGGGATGCTGTGTCTGTGGGCCCAGCAAGGCTTGCAAGACAGATGGACTGCCATCTGAGCAACAGGACATAACCCTAAACACTGCTCTGTCTTTCACTGCTTGCTTCATACCAGGGCTTTTTTCGCACCCTGAAGACTTCCCTCATCTTTTCCTGCACTAAAGACGCCCAATTCTTTTCCATCAGTCATTCTTTCAGGGCATTTTTCCTCTTTTCTCCAGATCATCAGGGTGAATTTGATTTCTAACCCTCCTCCCAGACAGCCCCTACACCCTCCCTTGATAGCATATTGCCTTCATTTGAGCCATGCTTCCCCAGAAAAACCCTGCTTAATGTGTCTGCCATCACAAGCTATTGATAACTGCTGATAGGATACAGCTTCTCAGGTAGCCATCCACCCACACTGGCAGAATTTCCAGTTTCCCTAATTTGCTTATAAGAATGTCACGTAAGGCAGCACAAAGATAGCATCGCTCCTGCTTTCCCTGCAGTACCCAGCCCATCACCCTAATGAAGAGAAAATGAGGTTAGTTTGACACAACGTGTTCTTGCTAAACTTGTGTTCTCAGCCCCAGCGCTGTCCTCTTGGTGTTTACCGCTTGGTGGCCTTACTAATTTGTTCCAGCGGTTTTCTGGGTACGGAGACAGGCTGATTCACCTAGAGTTTCCTGGATCCTCTTTTTTTCCCCTTTCTTGAAGCAGATGGTGAATTGGGCATCCGTATCCTCCTGGGACACGTCTCCATGCCAGCTCTGTGAGCCCCTGTCCCCCTCCGACCTTGCCACTGTTGATGGTGAATGCTTGTCACCCCATCATGGTGAAACCCACCACCTCTAGGGACAAGCAATGGCTGTAGAATCGCTTTCAGGCTGGACTGTCTTCATAGTCAAGCCCTGCGAGCAGAGGGGTCCACCTGTCGTCCCAGGGCGGATTTGAGGCAAAGGGGATCCTCTGGAAATGGGGATATGCCCAAGCTGGACTGTAGAGAGGGGACATTGCCCCATTATCCCCTGGATTTCTGGGATGGAGAGGGGTGCTGAGCAATGGGGAGAGATTGAAGGGAGGAGGTGGCTGTGAAGATGCAGGCAGTACCATCCCAAATGGGTTTGGGCTCCCTGTTCATCTAGCGGGCCTCGTGATGGCCCCTGCAGGCATAAGGAGAGAGCTCACCCCTCTCCAACGAGGCTCTGCCCCGGTGCCCTGGGCAGTGGGTTTGGTCTTGGGGGTGATGGAGCGAGCAGGCCCAGGGCTCCTGCCTGGCTGGGGGGCACAGGCTGCCTCACTCGCCCTCCGAGCCCCCGTGTGCCAGGATCCGGCCTGCCGCCGTCCTCCTCAAGCAGCACATCCCGCCAAAGGGAGGAAGAGAGAGAAGGAGAAACCTTGGAGCCAACTCAAAGCAAAACTAGAGAAAGCAAAATGAGGGTGGTGGGAGGAAACGCAGATGTTCTGCAAGCCTACAGCAGGCTCGGCAACAGGCAGGGCAAGGCTCTCAGTGGGATGGGATGGAGGAGATGCTGTGGGCCTGGACCCCCCAGAACACATCAGGGCTGTGCAAGTTGGCCATGGTTTTAGGGGT